GTGAGAGCACCTTACTTCTTACTCTGCCATCTTTGGCTCCTGGAAGCAGAAAATCAACACTGCCTTCTTGACAAGGACATCTAAATCTATTTCCCTGTTACCCTAAACTTCATTCTCTCTGACTATTCTAAAACACAATCCCCTAGTGCTTTCTCTTTAAAATTTTTTTTTTTATTTTTAGGCAGTTGGGATTACGTGACTTGCCCAGGATCACACAGCTAGTAAGTGTCAAGTGTTTGGTCTGAGGCCAGATCTGAACGCAGGTCCTCCTGACTTCAGGGCCGGTGTTCCATCCACTGCGCTTCCTAGCTGGCCCCCCCCCCCCCCCCCCCCCCCCCCCCCCCGCCAGTGCTTTCTCTAGTAAAATGTAAGCTCCTTCAGGGTAGGAACTATCTTGTATACTTGTATTTGCATCTCAGTGCTTACCAGTGTTCATGATATGGAGTAAGATGCTGAGTTATTTTTCAGTCCCGTCTGATTCTTCCTACCCCATTTGGGGTTTTCTTGACAAAGATACTGGAGTGGGTTGCCATTTCCTTCTCCAGTTCATTTGACAGATGAAGAGCTGAGGCAAACAGGGTTAAGTGACTTGCCCAGAGTCACAAAGCTAGTAAGTGTCTGAGGCCGGATTTGAACTCACAAGGAGGAGTCTTCCTGACTCTGGTCCCCACAGGCTATATACTGTGCCACCTAGCTCATATTAAGCATCTTAATAATTCCTTCCTTCCTTCCTTCCTTCCTTCCTTCCTTCCTTCCTTCCTTCCTTCCTTCCTTCCTTCCTTCCTTCCTTCCTTCCTTCCTTCCTTCCTTCCTTCCTTCCTTCCTTCCTTCCTTCCTTCCTTCCTCCATTCATTCATCCATTCATTTATTGGTTGGACCAGAGGACCTCCTAGGTACTTTCTAACTAATACCAGTGGAAGATGTCCTACAGCCACAGCCTGACCCTGGGAGGTGCCAGTCCCTGGCCAGCTCTTGGCTGTCTCCTAGCCGTTGGGCTGGCTCTCCTCCAGCTCCGCGGGTCTCCTCCCACCGGCCTCTCCTCCGGCCCCGCCTCTCTGGCCCGGTGAACCGAGGCTATAACAGCTTGCGGCCGCCTCGGGCTTCAGAGGAGCGCAGGGAGCGCACTGCACTGTGAGTCGTTCGCTTACTCGCTAGCTCGCTAGTGCTGCCGAGTCCAGAGTCCGGCGGGCGCAGGGGACGCTAGCGGCGGCGGCCCTAAAGGCTTTGGAAGCAAGATTATCTGAGCCTCACCCGCGGAGAGATCCCGAGCTCGGTCCCATGAAGTCCCCCACAGCACAGCGCAGCGCCGGGGGCGCGGCGGCGACCACTGCTGGGGCAGGTGAGTGAGGGGGTCAGGGCAGCGAGCTCCGGGGGAGCTAACCAGCCCCGGGAGGGCGCGGGCACTGGGGCCAGTCCGAGAGTCCGACCGCAGCCCTGACCTGGAATGGAGCCTAATCTCCCTAGCTCCCTTAATCCAAGCTTCATCATCATCACATCAGCTAGTCCCAGACCATCAGGTGGGGTCACATTTGAGAAAGGAAGAGAAAGGTCATGGGGAAAAGGGTATCAACTTCGAACTCCCTCCTAATTCCCCATAGAAGGAAAAAAAAATCCTGTTTATACACTTCTTAAAAAAAAGGAAAGGAGAAAGAGTCTGCTTTTTGCCCAGTCTTTCTCGATTTCTCGATTCTCTGCTTTCTCCCTTCGGTTTGCTTCTGCCCGCCCTTCCTCTCCCAGATGGCACAGTGACCTGACGCCTCCTTTGCCTATGAGCGAGTCTGACTCCGAAATTTGTTGTCTTGGGTTGGAGGGGGGCTTTAAAAAATATGACTCAAAGATCTGAATCTCTCTTCTTTCTGCCTCTATATTCCCATCCATCCTTACTTGTTAAACTGGCAGAGACTGAGATGAGGTCTTGCACCCATCTTCTTACAGCTGCTGCGGTTTGCAAGGAACCCTGGAGTCCCTGCAGCTTTGGAATCCTGGAGGGAAGAGGCTGATGCTGGCCTGGTTGAGGAGGTGTGGGTCTTGGCTGGGACGGGCTTGCCTCTCCCTACTCTGGCTACGTCTCCCCCTCCTAGCTCACATTCTGTGGCCGGGCTCTTCTTCCTCCGTAGTTCCTTCCCTGGACTCAGTGGTGGCTGCAGACCTGTCTGATGTCCTGTGTGAGTTTGATGAAGTCATGGCCGATTTCTCGTCCCCCTTTCACGAGCGTCACTTTGAGTACGAGGAGCACCTGAAGAGGATGAAGCGCAGGAGCTGCGCCAGCGTCAGTGACAGCAGCAGCGGTTTCAGCGATTCAGAGAGTGAGTAGCTTCCTTCCAGGCCCCTCCGCTTCCCCTTCCCTTCTCTCTTCTTCCTTTCCTCCCCCTCCTTACTCCCCTTCCCTTTCCCATTCCTCTTCCTCTGCTGCTGGCAGTGGTAATATTTCACCTCTGTTTTGGGACAGCTCCTGCTTCGAAGCCAAGCAGAAACTCTCCACCTGAGAAGCTTTCTATATATTCTCTCAGGGTCATAACTGCAGACAAGGAGAGGTGGGGTGAGGGATAAAAGCTATTTGTTGGCAGGAGGGAAGGGAAGAATGGTCCCTGGCTGGTACAGAGGGAGGTGGAATTGAGTCTAAGACCTCTGATCCCTGGCCACTGGATTTCAGCAGGAACAGGAAAACCTGTTCCTTCCAGGGACCTTGTGAAAGCAAGGAGATAAGAGTCATGTGAGTGTTCTTTGGGGCAAAAGAGCTATGTGAACTCAGGTCTGCAATCTTTAGTGACTGGGGATGCAGAAATGTTAAGCAGGTTTTTACCCCCAAGTCACACAGTAAACTAGTGGCTTATTTGGGAACATAGAACTTTTATTGTCGCTTTAAATCAGATGCAGAACCTTTTGGGAAGAAAGGGAGCAAAGGAGCATGGTAAAAGACTTCATTCAAAAGTCTTTGGGAAATGACCAATAATGAGGGGTTGAGAGAGATAAGACAAGATCTAGACTAGAAGCACCCATGAAGCTAAGAGCTAATTTCTAAAAATGACATCTCAGGGATTCTCAAAATAACCTCTTTGTGCTTTTTTTTTTTAAGAACCCTAAGCTTGAGGTTTAGGTACTGTTCTCTGACTCTGGACAAGTCACTTAGCCTCTGCTTCTGTTTCCTCAACTGTAAAATGGGAATAATAATAGCACCTTCCTCTCAGGTGTGTGGTAGGTGTGTGTGTGTGTGTGTGAGGTAGAGCACTTAGACTGGCACATAGTAGGTTCTATATAAATGCTTATTCCCTTCCTCCTTGCCTAGTGTCTTCAGTCCTTTAAGTATAAGTGACTTTTATGGCCTCCATTCTATGGAAACCTGGTCCCATCCCCCAGGGATTCCCACCTTTCCTTGTATTTACTGAGTATCATAAACTAGGATGGTGAAAAATGTGGAGAAAGCCAGTCATGCCATGAGCAGACAGAAAACTGACTCTCCAGAGGCACATGGCTTGCTGAATTATATTTTTCTTCTCTTCCTCAGCTACTCAACATGCTGAATTTAGAAGCTTGGGTTTGCCTAGTCACTTACCAGCTGATATGCCTATTTTGTACTGCTGGGCTAGGACCCCTAGGGAACATAGTTACAGTGAGAAAGGCCCTCATAAGCCATGGCCTGTGAGGCCTCATTTTACAGATGAGGAAACTGAGGGAGAAGGGGTAAGGCAGCCTCATTTGAACTGATTTTCAGTAAGAACTGGATATTCATGCAGATTTCCTGACTGTGAATTCAGAACCTTTAAGTCTATTTTTATTATTATTAGTTCTTTTATCATTAACAAAAGTAACTAGGTCTTTTAAGGTGCTCCAACCTCCTTAGGTTTTAGTAACTTCATGTAATTTAAGTGCTTACAATAATATTTATATGCCTTATTGTTTCAAAATACTTTTACATGCATTTATTTTATTTTCAGAATAGCTCTGACATCCAGGGCAGATATTATTACTCCAATGTTGCAGAGGAAACTGAGGTTCAGAGCTGAAGCAGCTAGTGAATGTCAGAATGGGAGCTCAAATTCAATCCTTCTGATGCCCTCATCTAGCCTTTTCCCCACAACAGTATGTTGCTGATGCTACCACCTAATTATTTGTTATTCTCCCATCCAACTCAGTGAAACTTGACAGTCACTGAAGCAGTTTCAGACAGTATCTGAAAGGATCTCAAAAGATCAATTCTAACTCAACTCTTTTATTTTGTAGATGAGGAAACTCTTTGTGATTGTACTTAGGGAAGTCAAGACCTCTCTTTCCTAGGAAGGAAAAATTCAGTCATTAAATTTGGATATAAGCTGATTTTTTAAATGCAGATCAAGGGCACTTAGTGCCCTAACTCAGGATTTGAGTCAGGCACTTGACTTCCAGCTTTGGTTCTGTTGGCAGCCATGGCCCAGACACATCATTTGGAAAAGAAGGATAATTCTTACTTCACAGGGAGGTTTAAAATGAATTACATCTTGTAAGAGGCAAGGGACTGAATTTTTTTCTGAACTTTTTTTTTTATTCTGTTGCTAATAGCCTGGAGCTCTTGCTGAACAGAGTAAGAGAGAACCTCCCTCTGCCTGGGTTCTCTGCTAATTTGATGTCAAAAGGAAATTTTACATTTCTTGAAACTTGTCTCTCTGTGGCCACACTTGAATATGTCAGATCAGCCCTGGTATGAGGTAGAAAGTGAGACGTGAAATACACGTCCTCTTCTACCAAGGCAAGAAAATGAGGACAGTTTGTCCAGTGCTATTTCATTGCAAAGAAACAAGTCTTGTTCAGGCAGTAACCACACTCCTCTTGAACAGAGTATAACATTGCCCATTCATAGACTACCAGGGCTTCTATTGGGTGAGGTGTCAGATCCAGAATTCTTTCTTGTTTCTTTTGTGGACACAGGAAGAAGGCGCTGGAAAACATCCTTGACTAGCATTGGGGGAGGTATTTCCAGTGTGTGTGTGTGTGTGTGTGTGTGTGTGTGTGTATGCGTGCGTGCGCACGCACACGCTCCTGTTCTTGTAACCCTAAATGTTTTTTTTTTTGCTTTTTGTGTTAATGAAACTAATCATTAATTTGGTAGTTAGGAATATAAACAGGAAAAAAATGGATCACAGGTTATACACATAATATATCCCTTACCTAATTGTCTGCTTGCTATTTGAGTCCATTACTTACACAAGACTAATTAGAATATAGGCTCTGGGGTAGTTAGCCTGTCACACACACCATCATCTTTTTAAGAGATGTATTTTAATCTTCATCTCAGTTGCTGCCAGGAATTAGCTGCATGGAACATTTGTCATATTAGTTGGCTTTTAGTGCTATAACTTTAGTCATATTTGTTAATAGCTACACCATTGAGGGGAGGGAGAGAGAGGTCAGTAGCCCCGTTATGCAGGTTGTCCAAAAAGTTTTAGTGCAGTTTAAAATTTTAATAGCCACATACATCCATTTACCAGATGGGGAAAAAATGAGATGGTAGAGATCAAAGTGTCTTATTTAAGATCCAAGATTCCTTAGTAATGAATGAATTCAAGTCAAGAAGCATTTAAATGCCTCCTATATGCCAGGTTTTGTGCTAAGTGCTAGGGATACAAAGAAAGGCCAAAAAAAAAAAAAAAGGTGAGCTTGGGCACAGAACCCAGATCTCCTGAAATGAACTGAATTTTCATTTAAGATATTAGCCGCGATGCCTCACTGACAATTTTGGTTATTTTTCAAAGGTGGTGAATCACAGCTATAAAACTCCAGGAGTTTATTGTGATCTGTCCATGATCACACAGCTAATAAGTCTATCAATTTTATCAATAAGATCTAAATCTCTGGCAAATCACATCTCACCATCATGATATAAAATGCTGGTTGTGGTAATTGATCTTTCTCACATATGAAAACATGTATCCAGTTGTAAACTCAATGCCAGTGTGGTTTTTTTCCCATTTCTTTTGTAAGTCACCACCCCCTCCATACCTCCAACCCAACTTTCTAAGAGAGATCAAAATAGTGCATTATCTGAGCAACCAGAAAAGAAGAAACTCTATCAAGGGTGTTTTTATCCTAAGGAGAAAATAAACGTAACACACATTCCTTCTTATCCTACAGTTGCAGGCCAGTGTGTACACTTGATGGAGGGGTGGGGTGGTTAGAAGTAAACATTTCAATGAGCCAATACTTTTCCTGTTCCAGCTTCTAAGATGGATGTCCTAAGTAGGACTAAACACTAAAATAACTCATGACAGGTACGTTCATATGGATAGTACTGTTTTCTTGGTTCCTTCTCCACCAAATTGCTAAATTGATTGGAATTGAATTAATCCCTGTCCTTGTCTTTCCCCACAGGCCTCTGCTATCCTGAGTTTGAGTAGATAATATCCGGCTTTTTAGTGGCAATGAAATTAAAATAATCAGAGTTTGAGGAAGATTGTAGTCAACTTTTAAGAATGAGGAACTGCTAGAAAGGATCACTCAACTTATCTAGTATAACCTGGGGGCTGGAAGGGAATTTGAAGGACCTTTGAAAGTCTGCTTTTGCTTTTTACTAATTAGGACACTGGCAGGAGACCTTTATTTTGGCTATGGTGGGTGTCAGCACCACGATTAGCATGTTTGTGCCAATGACTTGCTTTTAGGATCAGTCTGAAGGCTGAGTACTGTGGCTGGACACTGGCAAAATAAACAGTGTCCTGAGTGGCTTGGGATACTCATGCCAATTTCATGATGTTATTAGGCAATCTGAGTGGGAGGTTTGTTGTGTTCTGACGCCTTGGCAGGACTGGAACTGTCTCAGAAGAGTAGCTGATGGCAATGTTGGTCAGATTTTACTTATTTGGACCACTAGAACACAGACACCAAGGAAGATGATGCCCCTCCCTATCCATCTCCATTCCCTATGACAAAAGGCAAACAGGTCTAAAGTTTTCCACTCAGTTAATTACTATAGTTCACTTGTCTGAAACTTGTGGGGCAGTTGTTCTATTTGTAGGAGTTTGGGGCAAGTTTTATGTTTTGTGGCTTCATTCTGTTCTGAAATAGAAAATGTTAGTGCTAACCCTGAATTACCCTTCCCTCCTCTCCAAGCTAAAACAACACACCTCTCTCTTTAACAAGCCTCTTATTCTGACTTCTCTACCCAACTAACTTTCTCAAACTCTAGTAGTGTTCAGGTATTTAATACTTCATGGTATTTTTAAAAATGAAGTCATTTGCACTAAGTTTGAGATTTCCAACTAGAGAAAATGAAGTTGATTTGCTAAAAAAAAGTGTCTAATAAGGACAGATAATCTTTGAAAGCTAGCCAAGCCTTTAGGGTTGGGGAGGGTAGCTGGTTCAGGGCTTAAAAATCCTTCTCTTGCCTGTGGCCCAAGGGCTTTGAAATGACTGCTATTAGAATCAAATGGTTTTTTGGGCTGAGGCATTGTGTCCATAACGTCCCTTACCTGGGGTTGGGTCCTATGACTACAACAATACCTATGAACACATTGCTGTTATTTTATTAGTTATCTATTGCCTAGTGGAAAATAGGGACCTGAAGCAAAAGGGGTGAGGGATATAAAATGGGCAAGTTTTTTTTTGGGGGGGTAAGGGAAGCAGGAAAGGTCTGAAACATAGGGTACCTGAGTGGGGATGCGATTAATGGGGAACCAGAAGAAGCAATGAGGTCAAAGAATAGCAAAAGAAGAGAAAGATGCTCCTCATTTGAGTGAGAGGACTTTTTGGCTCTGCTGATTACTAACTGTGGTACAGTGGAAAGAAAGTATTAGAGTCAGGGGACTTGAGTTCAAATCCTGACTTTGCCCTGTGTTACCTTGGGGAAGTCACTTAACCTTAGGGCCTCAGTTTCCTCATCTGTAAAATGGGTAGATCATCTTTAAGGTCCCTCCCAGCTCTAAATATGTGATCCTATGAAACTTTTCTTATTTGCATTTTGCCTTAGCAACAGCCTGATTGTTCTGATCAGTTTTTAGGTTGCTGGCTAGAAGACCTTCTAAGGAAGAGAAGGGAATCTATGGTGAAGTTTTCATTTGTGATCTTTTTTGGAACTCCAGCTTCTGTATCCTTCCCTAGGAAGTGTTCTTCCTTTGTATTCCTCTCTCCGATGAGCTAGAGACTTGGATCAAATCAGCATCAAAGCTACAATTATAATAGGCCAATAATTTGTTGGGGGCTCCTTAAGACACTTGCTTGCCCTTCTGTTGATAGAGTTTAAAGACTTTTTTCCACTAGAAAGAGGGACACAGGAATGGTAAAGGGGATTTGAGCAAACATCTTAGTAGGTTTCTGGTGGGGGTATGTGAGTGAATCTCTTCTAAGTAACTTGGTTTAGTATCTGCAGACTCTACGTTTAGAGTAGAGCTACTGCTTTAGAGTGTGTGCCTTGGGAACCCATTCCATCTGTAGATTCATGGTATTGGAATGAGCTGGGCAGGATGTAGGGAAGAATGTATTGGTTTGATGGACCAAGATATAGGGTGCTAAGCATGGGTTTATATAGACTCTCAAGGTATTAAACTTCCCTTTAAGTCTTGTTGAAAGTGTATTCTATGTGTTCAGGTAGAAGCCGACAAATACACTTTATCACTTCTAAAATGGCTGAGGCAGAAGAGTTGATTCAAACTGCTTGTTAAAAATAGCTGTGTCTGCCCAATTAAAAATAATTATATAATATTCGTGAGATAAATATATCTGCATTATGTAATTTTAAGAGGCTTTTTCCTCCAAAGAATTCCTATGACATTATAATAACTCAAAGACAGGAAAGGGTGGTAGTATGCTCTCATTTTACATATATAGAAATTGAGGCACAGAAAAATGAAGGGAATTATCCAATGTCATGCAGGACAAGATGAGACTAGTACCTATCCACTCTCAGTCTGGTATTCTATTAGTCTAAATCTACTAACTGTAAAGGCTCAAGTTTTATGGAGTTTGGCGGCTGTAAATAGACATAAATATGGGTCCCTGGGATTAGAGGTCTGAACCATATAAACTGATGAAGTCTGTTTGATTATATATACAGTCCTGATTTAAAGCATTCACTGAAAGGTCACATTTCTTTAAATAGGTGCTTTGAAATTGTGTTACTGGGCATAATTTCACATACTTGGGGCCTTGGATTGAAATGCCATTTCTGAATTTCCTTTGCAAGACCAGCTTGGGAAGGTCGGAACAACGTCAGTTTCCTGTGGAGCCTTTAGGAGCAGCGATGTCTGGCTGCTGCTGAGTGCTGCTTCATTGGAGTGTCTGGGTTTTGGCCACATGGGTTTTCATTCAAAGCACTATGAGTTAATATTGTATTTTATATTGCCATAGTTGAATCTGCCTGTGTTTTCCATCACAAATATCCCCTGGTATATTACCTGGCTATAAAAATATGCTTGGGGCTGTAAGTTTGTATTAAGGTTCTCCCAGAAGCAAAGTAAAAGGAGTTTCTAGACTTTAGTCAAATATTCACATTGTTTCCAGATACTGTCTTTACCCCAAAATGAACATGTTAATATCTGCTCCTTACCACAAATTACACTGGTTATTGATTCATTTTTCGAGCCTAATTTTATGTGCTTTTTATGGAACTTTCAATGGAACTTTAGAAACATGATTCTGCTTACATAAATAAATGACTGGTGTCTTTTCCCTTCCTTATGGAGCATGCCTTAATTAATAATGGGGATCTCATAGAATATTAGAGCAGGAAGAGACTTAATAATAGTTATCATTTATATAGAGTATCGGAATTTGTAAAGTACTTTAAATGTCATCTCATCTGATCCTCATAGCAATATCCCCATTTTACAGATGAGGAAACTGAGTCTGAGAGGTTAAGTGACTTGCTTTGTCTAATTGCTTGTTCCAATAGATGAGAAAACTTAGCCCAGATAGGTTTCATGATTTAGTGGCAAAGCCCAAGGCTAGAATCCAAGTTTCCCAACTCTCCACCTCTAAAAATTATTGATTTCCTTTTGTTTTTACATCACCTTCATTTCTACAAATATCCCTCCTCCCTCTCCTACCCAGAGATAGCATCATAACACAAAACAGAAGGGGAAAAAAGGTTTCAGAAAAAATCAGCCAAGTCTGATAGTAATATGCACACCCATAGTCTCTCACCTCTGCAAAGAAGGGATTTCTCACTCTTTTTCATATCTTCTCTGAGGCCAAAAAAGCTGATTTTCCAATGTTTTCCATTAACTCTATTGTCTTGGTGTCTCTAATGTTCCCCATATGGCTTCTACCTTTCTTCAAATTCTAGTGTAAGTTAGGATAAAGGAAGAAATGGAGACGAGTAGCATTGTGGTAGGTGGGGTCAGGGGTAAATGATTATTCCTAAAAGCTATAATTATAGGGCTTAGAACCCTTCTTCTAGGGCTTTCAGGCTCCACTTTGGTTCACCAAACTCCAAGATAGGATAAATCTAGGCAGAGCAACACTCTTAGGGTACAGCTGCCCAGGTAAAGGTTCATTGAAGATCTTTTGGAAGTACTCTTTGAGAAAGGAGTAAGCATCCAATCACAAGACCAGGCTTTCTTGTGCTTATGTTCTTAGGTGAGCTCAGATCAGCTGGCTCAGAAAGGGCTAGAAACAATGTCTCTCTTCATTAAAGTATATCTTTGTGTAGAGAAATGTTGCTTCACTTGTAAAAAAAAAATTCTCCACCTAACTCCCCACAACCTGAAACGACCAAAGGTATCATTGGCTTGGCTGAATGTGACATACACAGACATCCTTGCTCTCCCAATGGAATGCTGCATTATTTTTGGAATAGAGGCAACTGCTAGGATCTTATCATACCCTTCTTGATTTGTGGATATGGGAGTTTTCATTGTAACACCTACCTCATAGGGATGTTGGGAGGAAAGCACTTTGCAAACCTTAGAGGGCTATAAAAATGAATCAATTCATCACAATCATGTACAATATAATTATATAATTATCATTTCATGTGCTAATATATATATTGTACATATCATTCTTATAGAATATAAGCTCCTTGGGGTCAGAGACTGATTCTTTTTTGCTTTCACAGAGCCTGGCACATAGTAGGCACTCAAGAAATAATTGACAGAGTGATACATGTTTATATATACATAAAATATTCATACATATGCACATAGATATGAAATCAAAAGCATATAAAATTGTGTCTGTATATTTTGTATATATGTAGAAAGATAAACATATGTGAGTACATTTTTCATTCATACACACATATATATCTAGTTCTTGCTCTCCTTTGGTCCTGAGAAGGCTGTCAACTTTTAAAAGAGTTGCTCATTTCTTTTACTTTACTTAATATTGTTAGTAATAAATCACTACTCACTACAGTGTTTTTCAGACCTTTAGTCCACATAGATACTACTATATATATCAAAATATATATTATATATGTGTATAAAGACCTGGGTTTTAATCCCAACCCAGCTACTTGCTAGCTATATGACCTTGGGGAAGTAATATAGCCTTTTTTGTGCTTCATTCTCTTCATCTGTAAAATGGGGATCATAATACCTGAATTACCTAACTCACAGAGTTGGTAAGCATCTAATGAGATAAAGTGTTTTGTAAAGCCTAAAGTATTAATCATTGTGAGTTATTATTAGCTATTAGATGTGTTTGTATATACAGTTATATGTGTACACACACACACACACACACACACACATGCATACACCTGGAAATGTAGATCTTTTCCCATGCAAATTTAGGACTTTGTTTCTTTTAGAGACTGTACTTATGACTGTTCATTATTAATATACCTTCATTCTAATTGCCTTATGTACTTTTTTTCTTAAAGGTGCAGATTCCCCTTATAGGCACAGTTTCAGCTGCAGTGATGAAAAGCTGAATTCTCCAACAGTCTCAACAACGTCTTTGTCCTCTCCCCTAGTTGTTCCTCGTAAAGGTAAATTTAACAGGGGGCACATGGTCTTCCCACTCTTCATGCCACTTCCCATCCCCTCTCTCCAGCTGTAATAGACTCTGGGGCCATCTCTGCCCAGCACTGAGGGGTCTGTGCTTTCTTGACCTATGTGGATCAGACTCGATAGGCAAGATTTTGGATTTCTCACACTTGCACAACTTTATGGGGAGAACATGTCTTCAAGTGGTTCCAGATGCTTCTTTGTTCTCTTCCTTGGCACAGATTCTAATCTGGTTATAGGCAGAATCTGTGCCAAACAGCAATGACTGGCAGACTCTTCCCAGACTGGCTGGTTCTAGAATGCGAAACCCTCTGTCAGGATTTGTGGAAGGTGGGGTTTTGTAACTGCATCAATTATTTCACCCATATTCTCAGTAATTGCACCAGCTCAACAATTAAATAGGATTTTTGTAATGTACAGTGAAATGCCCTGAAGAAAGTCAAGCTAGAAGCTTTAGTATTTCCTGACTGTTTTGAGAACAAAAATCCCAGAATTTGGAGTGCAAAGGATTTTAGATAATGTAAGGGTCTTAGATGATCCGAACCTCCCATTTAGAGAAGAAAACAATCATAGAACATCCAGTCACACAGGGAACAAGTAGCAGAGATGGGATCTGAACTCAGGTGCCAATTTTCTGTTTGTTTGTTTGTTTTTAGGCAATTGGGGTTAAGTGACTTGCCCAGGGTCACACAGCTAGTAAGTGTCAAGTGTTTGGTCTGAGGCCGGATTTGTGCTCTATCCACTGTGCCACCTAGCTGCCCAGGTGCCAAGTTTCAACATAGGGCTTTTTTTTTTCCTATGTCATACTGCTTCCTGGGTCTTTAAAACTCATGTGAAGCCTCCTGGTTCTTTGGGATTAGTGGATTGACTTGGGTGGGAGGGAAGGAAACTGACTTTAAACGTTCTCAACCTCAAATGCCTTTGCTGGATAGCAGAACATCAGGTTACTCTGGACAGTTGCCTTCCTGACAACAAAATGATGTTTGATCTTTAGAAGAAATATTACCTTTGGTGGAAATTATAAGGAAATTAAAAGGAAAAAAAGTTATAACATCTTTGGATTTCACCACTCTCTAATATTAAAGCAGAGCTTTTCCCGAGAGAGATTTTCCATTTCCACCTCCTCCCCCTTCCCTCCCCCTTCCCTCCCCCCACCAGATCTTGTAACTTTAGAAGCCTCTTGGGAATTGATACAGACATCTACCCCACATTCTCTGATGAGCCTAGCGATTAAGAGTAGTCTCAAGATGGCACAATCTTGCCTGAAGTTGCTACTGGATCCTGCAGAGGTGTCAGCTCAGGGAATGAGCACCTGTTGGCAAAGGGACCGTAAGGGCTAAAAAGCAATGTTAGCGAGGAGTTACTTATTACTGAAAATGTCCAGTGATACACTTCAACAGCAAAATAAATGGACAGTTGTTAGAAAGTTGTCAGTTTTTCTCAGGCTGTTGGGTTATAAGCTTGCCTTGTTCACACTTCTTGTAGGAAGCTAGTTCAAGAAAAGAAAGTGGATTAGATTATAAGCCTGGGGTGCCATTGGCACCTCAAAGTAAACATGTCTAAAAGCAAACTGATCCCAGTTTCTACTTCCTATTCTACATTCCTGTCTCCCAAATAAAAATAAAATCCACACTCCAGCCAGCCCCTAATTCTGACTTTTCTATTTCTGAGACAGCAATATTATTTCCTGACTTCCCACCTTGCCCCCAGATTCCATTTCCATCCCAGTCACTCATATGTAAAAAATCTCAGAATCTCCAATGAGAATTCCCTAGAGTTTTTATGACCTGTCTTATCCTGCCACTTCCTTCCCTGGGTGTCAGTTTCTTCCTTCGTAAGATGAGAGGACCAGACTAAATGATTTCTAAGGTTCCACCCAGCTCTAATGTTTTATAATTCCCTTACCTCCCATATTCGGTCAATGAGTCCTGTTGATTCTCCTTCCACATTTCTCCCCTTCTTTCTCTTTTCAGTGCTCCTTAGTTTATGCCCTCATTTTTCTTTTGCCTGGACTATCAGCAAAGTCTCCTAAATGGTCATGAAGTCATAGATCTAGAGCTGGGGGGGGACCTCAGATGGTCTCTAGTCCAAGCTCTTCAATTTACACATGAGAGAGTTGAGGCTCGAGTAGGTTGAATGATTTGCCCAAGATCACATAGTAAAAGTGCCTGAGATAGGATTTGAACCCAGGTCACTTGACTCCAGAGGCAGAGCTCTTTCCACTCTACCATATTGCCTTCCTTCTTGGTTTCTTCCTATCCTAAAATCTATCCTGCACACAATCACCATATCGATTTTCCTGATCATATCCCTTCTCTGCTCTAAAACCTTCAATGACTCCCAACTACCTAGAGAATGAAGTTCAAATTCAGCTTAGTATTCCAAGTCCTTCATTTTGGAGTCAAAGGAATCAGGTTTGAATCCCAGCTCTGTTACTACTTATGTGAGTCTTGGGGAAATAATAGCTTTTCTGGGATTTAGCTTCTTCACGTGTGTGTGTGTGTGTGTGTGTGTGTGTGTGTGTGTGTGTGTGTGTTGGGGAGGTAGGATTAGATGATTTCTAAGATCTATTCCTGCTCCTTAATGTGGTCTGACCCTCTTTTTCTTCCAATATATTTTAAAAATTCTATTTTTTCAACTGGCAAAAATCTGCCTTCTTTCCCTCCCACACCTCTCCCTCTTGAAAAAACAGAGCAAGACATTACAACTAAGTAGAGTTA